CCAGGACCAAGCGGAGAGCGTCGCCGGTCGGCGCGGCTGCGGCGTCCTGAGTGCCATGGGCCTGCTGCAGGTGGCACGGCATCCTCGGCGTCCTGTGTGCCATGGGCCTGCTGCAGGTGGCATGAGCACGTGTACCTGGTGGTGGGGACACCGCGGTGCCGCCGCAGGGACGGGCTGTGCTGGCCGGGCGTCCCTGCTCGGCTGGAGGGGTTAAGGGGGGAGGTGGCACGGCCATCCGGGCTGGCATTCCCCGTGGGAGTGCGACACGAGGCCATCGCCCCTGCAAGTCCCTGCTCCTGGAGGTGTCCTGGGACCACGCCCCCAGCCCAGGGAGCACTCGGAGCTCCTGGAGGACCTCCACCTTTGCCCTTCGTGGCCTGCCTCAGCCCCACAGGGCCTGGCTGCTGTGGTCCCCTCCGGAGGGACCGCAGAGGTCAGGCGGTAGAAGCTGCCATCCGCGGTTCTGGCCTGTGCTGTGCCGCAGCCCCAATGTCCCTGGGGGGCCCCTGGGGACGGTGCCACAGCGCCTCCATGGGGTGCCCACACGTGGCCACAGAAACGGGGAGGCACTGGGTGGGAGCACGGTGTGTGGAGGCTGCTGGGCAGGCGAGGGGTGCCCCCAGCGACAGCAGCGTGTCCCGGTCCACTCTGCAACACCGGCTGCTTGCCCGTGCCGGGCGGTGAGGTTGGTCTGACTGCATGCATCTCCCTTTGGCACGATGGAGGCTGATCCTACCACCAGTCCTCCTGCCCCGTTCTCCAGGCTGGGAAGGGCTGGGGAGGTCCGTGGGCAAACTAAAAGGCTCTGGGCCATGACAACTTTAAAATAAGTCTAAAAGTCAGTTTATGCTGAATAAGCTAATTCATTGCTCCCTTTCAGTAAAGCAAGGGAGCTTACAGAAAACAGTGCCATTCCACCCACTCTGGAGCTAGATGGCTATTATACAGGGAAACACAATTTTAAATTATCCTTCCCGAGACCCTCATGGGCTTAGAGCTACTTCCCTGTGCTCAGAAAACACTCAGAGAGAAAAAGCATGTATTATATACAACTAGTAATAATGCTGGTGACTACTTCACTGAGAAAAACACCATTTTTGATAAAGATGAAAAAAAGTGAAATCCCCTGGGCAGAATTATCCAATATTGATCACACACCTGTAACAACAGGGTTCAGGCACGGAGCAAACCTGGCCTTGGGGGTAGCAGAATCACCCAGTGACTCCTACCCGGCTTCTTGTTCCTTCTCCAAAGCTGGGAGAGCCCCTGTAAAGCCAAGTAAGCAAAGCTGTAGGAAAAGTCACAGTCAAGACCTTTATAAGAAATGTTCTCCAAAAGATCACGCTGGAGGTATCGCTGCTTCTCACCGGCCACAAGTGCCTCCAGCAGCCACATCACCCCGTCCCCCAGAGGTTGCTGTGCGATGCGAATGTTATAGGGCCCATTAAATGGTGGCACTTACCTGCAATTAGACTCCCTGGGAAACGTCCTCACAAAGGGGATAATTAGCACACCCCTCATTGCCCCCACTACCCCTGGTGCTGTAAGGGTATTGCTAAAAAATTTAGTTTTACTCTTCCCAGGAAGTAAGGCGGTCTGTAAGTGCTTAAAGATTGTATTTTACACGTTCCGTGACAGAGGTTGCACAAGCAACGTGGGACAGAAAGGGAAAAATCAGTGGGTTTAAATTATGGTATTTTGAGAGCGACTTAAATCCCTGCATCAGGTGGGGCAGGAAACAGAAACAGCCAAAGTTGGCTGCAGGCTGACAGAGCTCAGGCGAGACGTGCGCACCCCTCCTGTCTCGCCTTGCCATCCCTCAGTGCACGGCCGCCGCTGCCGGTCCAACCAGTGCGGTGAAACTGTCCCCCGGGGCCTCCTGGGCTCCTCGCCGCTTTTGCAGCTCTGCTGGGGAATGACCTGACCCCGTCGAGACGGTCTGTGGGGCCCTAAAAATTTCAGGAGATCACTTGTAGAAAAACAGGTTGCGGCTGACTTTGAGGAGAAAGGGCCTCTCTGCCTGTAGGTGCTTTGAGTTTGGGTCTCTCTAGGAGGCAGGTCTTGACACTGGATTGAATCACTGTCTTAATGCAGAGACGCTAATTAAAATGACCAGCCGGGACCACGCTTACATCCACTCAAGTCATACCTGCATCTGCATGGCCCGAGTTCCCACTTTGTCTCCCTCATTTACCAGCACGCGTGCTGGGCACAGAGCTCGCAAAATCGCTCAGTCCCGCTTTCTTCACAGAAATCCACAAATCGGGCCACCTCCTCTACCAATTGCTAATAGTCACAGCCGGAAAAGGGAACAAAACTGAAAATGTGGTTCATTTTGATGGCTTTTGAACTCACATTTCTCCCCTTCTCGTTGTGACAAGATTCTCCAAGCTTTGCCTAAAAATAAAATATAATTGAGGACAAAAGGGCTGTTTCTTGTAAAAGTATCCCCTCCCCTTTCAGGTTTCTGCATAGCCAAGAAATGCTTAAATATCTATATGTGTGTGGGTGTATACATAGACTCTCTCTCTGTCTGTTTATTTACTGACATGGTACATGCATAGTTTTTCATCAGTCCTAAGCAGTTTCCGCGCTTTGGTGCCGAGCAGCAATCTAAGCCAGCACCCAACGGATGGCTGACACACGCGCTGATGGCCTTAGGGTACCTCACATTTTTGCAGCTTAACATTGATCTCGGGTGATCCCCACGAGCATTAAGGCTCACATTTCTCCGTGGTTACAATCTGTGGTTTTTCTGTTCACCAAGTAACAATCTCTAATTCCTCCCACCAGGAACTTTGCTGCAAACTGATGTCTTTATTAGTAGCCCTTGGACATTTTTCTAAAGCCACATGGTTTTTACAGGCAGAGCACCGAACTGTGCTGCCTTCCCAGCATCATTTCTTCTCAACTTCCCAGTGCCGGGAACGAGCGGCAGGATGAGGCCACGCGACGCACTGCTGCAGGGGATCCCAGCCCGGGGGAAGCCCTGGCCTGATGGTGATGCCTGAGCCCGGCGTGCTTGGGGGCCGGGTCCCTGGGGCCAGGACCCAGGTGGCCAAGGGTCCCTGCCAGACCCGGCAACGTGGCCGGAAGTCGGACCTGACACCCAGCAGCATAGAAGCAGCACCAAAGAGGTTTTCCATTGCCTCCATTCCTCCCAGGCCCTGCCAATTTGGGTCGCATGAGTGTTGTGGCTTTTCCCCATGCGCCCCTTGCTCCGGCCCCCAGCCGCTAATTTTTGGGGGAGGGGAGATCCAAACCACATTTCCCGCTCCTGCTCCAGCACCTGCAGCTCCACTGGCGGCCATCCTCCCTCGCTTCCCCTTCCTTACCCTCGGGACGGCGGTGGCAGCCCTGCCCAGGGCTCTGCTTCCCCCCCCGGCGCCCACTAGCCGTCGAGCGTGGCTTGGTCTCCTGCTTCAGCATTTGCTCGCTCCCCATGCTGGTCAGGAAGGAATTTATTATTTTTTTTTAATACCCCAGCTGGGTGTTGTGGACAGGTTTTGCTTTGCTCTGCCACACGTTGGTCACCACGGGAGAGGACGGCTCACGGCAGCAGGCACAGCATGGGGAAGTCCTGGTTCCTGTCTGGGAGCTGCTCCGGCATGGTGGAGATGAGGCAACTCCTGTCTGCCCCACGGGGCTTCTCTCCCTCCACCGATCCCATGGGCCACGGCCATTGCCGGCTGCGGCTCTCCACTGGGGGCCACAGCTTAGGCCTCGAAGGTGGGTGGCAATGAAACCCAGGGCTAAATTTTAGGTGAGGTGACCTCACAGCCCAGTCAGAAACGCAGATGGCTCCAGGTTGCCTCCAGCAAGGGGCCGCCTGCACCAGGGCGTTCCAGCTACTCCAGCACCCAAGCGCTGCACTGGGGCCAGCGAGGCCGTCCCCGGCCACGTTCCTGTCGTCCGCTTCCCCTCAGCGTTATCCTGGCAAACGCACACACGCATCTATGGTCCCCCCTCTCCATCACACCTCTCGCTTCAGCCTGGTCCCATGCCAGAACCGTCCTGGGAAGAGGAACTAATGAGCAAAAATAGGGGAAGCGAGCCTGTCCATATGGAAAGAGTCACAGCTTTCACAGCAGAAGCTGCTTTAACTGTTTATTCCCCAAAACACAAAGCAGCTGCCCTGTGCTGCTGAAAGCAGGGCCCTGCCAGGTACCGGCACCCCTGGGCAGAGCCAGCTCAGTACCACTGGGACCTGATCCCATGGCGCCGCAGCCCCAAGCAGGAGGTGCCTTTCCCAGCTGGGGGCACAGCGGGCCCTGGGGGAAGGACAGGGATGGGGCAAAGGAAGCGAGAGAGGGCCCTAATGTAGATGTTGGCATGCGGGGACTCCTGTGCTATGGGCTGACTCCCATGGGGGCAACCCCCAAACCCACCAGTGCCCACCCTGAGGTCTCGGGCAGCCTCTTCCCCAGGAGAGAAGGGAGACGAGGCTCGTGCTGTCCTCCACACTGAAACCACACTGCACCACCTCCCCGCTTCCTCTCCTCGCCCCAGACGTGGAGGAAAGCCTTGGAGTCAGCAGCAGAGACCACGCGACGAGGGCCAGATCTCACCCCGCCATGTGAGTGGGACCCCAAGGCCGTGGGGGTGGCACAAAGGAGCCGGGGTCACGAAGGGGGATTCGTCTGGGGGAGTCACCCAAGCGTTGGCCAAGGGAGATTCACACCATGGAATCCCCTGGGCACGGTGAAGAGCTGAAGGCAAGATTACTCCCTGCCCCATCCCCAGCAGAACAGCTTTCGTGGGGAAAGAGAGCTTTTGCAACAGGAAGGCTGTGAGCTCCGGGCACCTCGACTTTCTGCTCCCCACCTGCTTGTCTCAGCTCCACTCAGTCATTTCTCACACTCATCGGTTCTCACTTCTCCTTTCCCTTTTGTTAATTCAACCCCCAAAAGAAGGAACCACCCAGCAGCTGCACCCCCAGCCAGCTCATTTCCCCAGCTCCCGCCTCGCCGCTCGGACGTCTGGTGAGGGCCAGTTCAGCCATGGGCCGGGTGCTGTGGGGAGTGCTGCTCACCTGGGTGTCCGTGGCTTGGGTGAGAGGGGCTGAGCGGTCCCAGGAGCTCTCCCCCTCTGCGGGGTTTCCAGAGTGCAAGGCGGCTCTGAAACTCCCAAGTCTGGAAGTCCTGCCAGGGGGCGGCTGGGATAACCTCAGGAATTTGGATATGGGCAGAGTCATCAACCTGGGCTACTCGCTGTGCAAGACCACAGAAGACGGATCTTATATCATCCCAGATGAGGTCTTCACTATACCTCGCAAGCAGAGCAACCTGGACATCAACTCCGAGATCATCGAGTCCTGGAAAGATTACCAAAGCATCACCTCCGCCTCCATCAACCTGGAGGTGTCCCTCTTCTCCTCCATCAACGGCAAGTTCTCCTACGACTTCCACCGGACCAAGACCCACCAAGTGAAAGACCGTGCCGTCACCACCCGAGTGCAAGTCAGGAACCTGGTTTACACTGCCAAGATCGACCCAGGGGCAGTCCTGGACAAGGGCTTCAAGAAGCAGCTGCTGACGATCGCCAGCCACCTGGAGAACAACCAGACGCGGATGGCTGATTTTCTGGCCGAGGTGCTGGTGCTTAACTATGGCACTCACACCATCACCTCCGTGGATGCCGGAGCCAGCTTGGTGCAGGAGGATCAGATCAAGGCAACCTTCCTGAAGGACAGCTGGGCCACACGGAGCGCTGTCACCGCCTCGGCCGGTATAGCCTTCCACAGCATCATCAGTGTGAAAAACGAGGAGTCCCTGGATGTCGGCTCTGGCTTCACCAAGCAGTATATGGAGAACCGCACCAACTCCAGGGTAGAGAGCATCGGTGGGACCCCCTTTTACCCAGGCATCACCCTCAAGACCTGGCAGGAGGGGATCAGAAACCAGCTGGTGGCTCTCGACCGCTCAGGGCTGCCCCTGTACTTCTTCATCAACCCCAGCACCCTGCCAGAGCTGCCCACCCCCACGGTGAAAAAGCTGGCCAGGCGAGTGGAGATGGCTATTCGTCGCTACTACACCTTCAACACTTACCCAGGCTGCACTGACGCCACCTCGCCCAACTTCAACTTCCATGCCAATGCTGATGATGGCTCCTGCGAGGGTGCCATGACCAACTTCACCTTCGGGGGAGTCTTCCAGGAGTGTACCGGGCTGGCTGGCCCCGACACCAGCTCGCTGTGCCGGGGGCTGGAGCAGAGGAACCCCCTTACTGGGGCTTTCTCCTGCCCCACCACCTACACTCCGGTGCTGCTGGGCGTGCAGGAGAGGGAGGAAGGCCACAGCCATCTGGAGTGCCGCAACAAGTGCATCCTGGGCATCTTCTGCCACCGCGAGTGCAGGGACGTCTTCTGGCTCTCACGGGTGCAATTCAGCGCCTACTGGTGCGCTACGAGTGGGTCAGTGCCCCCACACTCGGGCTATCTCTTTGGGGGGCTGTTCAGCGCCCACAGCGCCAACTCCATCACTGGTGCCCAGTCCTGCCCCTCGGGGTACTTCCCGCTGAAGCTCTTCGACGAGCTCAAGGTGTGCGTGAGCCAGGATTACGAGGGGGGCGGCCAGTACGCGGTGCCCTTTGGGGGCTTCTTCAGCTGCCAGGCAGGGAACCCCTTGGCAGGGCGGCACCAGGGCACTGCTGAGGACCCCCATGCCAAGAGCTGCCCCCCTGGCCCCAGCCAGCACTTGG